CACTCACCATCTCCTTCCCTGGACCATCTGAAGAGGTAGGAGGCATCTGATCAGCTGAACGATTCTCCTGTCTAAAACTGGAACTGGTGTCACTAGTCATGGCATGATTGGCCCAGGTTGAGGGTGGACCATGCAAGTCATAGTAATAATTAATGGTATGGCCATCCATACCACAATGAGTACACCTCCGCGGACCCGAGCCACGTCCTCTACCACGGGCTCCCCCTGAATCTCTGCCTCCAGGTACGACCACCACCACAGGTATATGTAGATCCACCACTACCACTCCGACCATATACCGGACCATTGCTACCACCACGGCCAGATTGGGCTCCTTGAGCCCCACCTCTAACACCACGGCCTCTCGACACTACAAATGCTTATTTATTTGAGACATTAGAGTTCTTCGTAGATCCAATAGAAGTCCACTGAAGTCGAGCAAACACCTCCTCTAAAGACGGAAGAGTTTATCCACCTAGTATCTGGGCTCGTACTGATTCATACTCAAATTTCAGCCCCACCAAAAAACGAGTCACATCAAACTGTTCTCTCTGTTGTTGCTGAATCTTGACATCAGAAGTGAGGGTGTGATAAACATTCAACTCATTACGGATGTTTCTCATACTGGCATAGTACTCCTCAAGACTCTGATTGCCCTGTTGCAGATTAAAGTATTCCTAATACAGCTGATATACCCTGGTTGTATTGTCTTGACTAGAATACAATTTCTTAGCATGGTCCCACACATCTTTGGCAGTGTCAAGAAACATGAAGTTTACACTAATCCTGGGTTCCATACTATTCCATAACCACGTGCTAATCTATGCATCCTCTTGTTCCCAATCTTCGTATTCATGAGAATCAGTGGAGGGTTTCTCCTCTCTTATGTGCTTCACCTTCTTCTTTGCCTTCAGAAAAACTTCTACAGATTTAGCCCAAGGGACATAATTCTCCCCATTCAGTTTAATGGAGGTCATTTGAACATTCAGGTAGTCAGTAGGTATCATCACATTTGATTTGCTATCACTGTTATCTCCCATTGCTGAATTCTGTTACCACTAAATTCTGCACACTTGCTGAATTCTTTTATCACTAAATTCTGCACATTGCACACGACTTGATCACACTGATCACACTGGTTTCAGCACTTAGTATTGCTGAAAGTTGCACTCATTACACCACAAACCCTACCCTACGGCTACCTGAAATCTCACCACTATATGAACACCACTTCTCCTTCGAATCACACAAAAAACAGTATAAACCCTAGCACACTACAGTCTGAAATCCCACCATACGATCTGCAACATACTTCCTATATGATTCATAACAGAAAATATGCATAGAAATCCCTTACCTCATCTCCTGAAGGACAACCACACAAGAAGAAAATCAGTCCACACAAGACACCCACTGCTCCACACGAACCAGCCCTACATTGATTAGGGGAGGGCTTAGAAACCACAGCAACTGACCACACAAGCTCCAAGGGAAGAGGGCGATCACTCCTTTTCAGCCCTTTCCCTGATCTCCAATTGATGGCAGAGAATTCAAGGGAAAACCCTAGATTGAGTGCGCAGAGAACAGAAATCTAGGCAGATTCGATTTGCCTAGTTCAGCTCTGATACCATGTTATAATTCGGCCTGCCTTTGAATTCTGTTTGTCTGTTAGCAATCAAGAAGAATGAGAAAGAAAAAGGAAAGAAAGAGAGAGAAAAGGAGGAGAAAAGTCTGGTTCGAATTAGGGAAAATCAAACCCTACCATTCGGCCAGACATGTTTTTATATTATTAATTGAAATGGAAAAGACACAAGTGCCCTTATTTAAGTAAGAGACACTAGTCCTAACATAATAATACAGATCAGCAACCTCAACAAGTATAAAGACAGAAATTCCCCTACGCTAACACTAACTAAATAAAGTAAATAAAAATAAAACAAAGCTGGGCCTAATAACTTAACATCGGCACAATAACTCAACAAGGTTCAATGCCCACATAGGCTAAAGTGTATAAACTCTAAATCATAGATACAACCTATGATATAGTAAATTACATATGTAAACACCAAATCCAAGGTTACTTCATCAATACATATCACTAATCCAGGTCAGACACACCTTGGTTCAGGTGAAGCACACCTCACAAAATGGGCCTCGCCCTATCAGTCTAGACACACCTGAGGTATGACTTTAAAACATTGGTTTAACATCTAGTGGATTACTTTGTTATTACATGGTTATACATTTAATTAAAGAATCTTACCAATCCATTGGATCCCTCTCTGGAGCATCATTTGCTGACATCAATTCATAGGCCTCTAGATTGTGCATCTTTCCATCCATTATCTTGTATATTATCCAACTACCTACATTGATTAAAACAGTTACTAATATATATGGAACCAAGAATTTCAGAATCAAAGATATTTCTGCACAGAACAACCTAAGAAGAAAAGTAAAAAAAAATGCAGTGTAGATAAACATCATACAAATTAGAAACTCTCCGTGGAATCTAAATATGTTTCAATACTGGGTTTTCATTACTAGTTGGGACCCGTGCAATGCACAGGCTTTGTTAAGTAAAATTGAAACAGATGGATCCCTATGACATTTCCAATTGGGCCAAAACAGTCTAACTCCAACTCAAAGTCTCAAACACTATTTTTGGTGACTTAACCTGTTCATGATAATTTTTATTAATTAAATATAAACTTCAAATTGTAATTTAATTAATTTTAAATTAATATAACTATTTTAAATAATTCCATTTTATTTAATTGTACTTTCATTTTATCAATTCAGATAATATTATATAGATATAGATTAGTGCATTCGCTAACATATTTTTGTAGAAAGACTGTTTTACCCATTTAAGACAAATAGTTTATCTTTATTATTGAAGATTGAAACAAACCACCCATGTCACAACATTACCTACTCATGATTCTATAAAGTATTTATTTTTGGGAGTATTCTGTATTTTTTATTCAAAATGTGAAATAAATAAAGAATCAAAAATATTGGGTGAAACTAGGGGTTCACATATTGTAAATTTAGACATACACAAGGAATGGAAATCAAGATGAATTGGGTTACGAGGGATGCCAACTGTATGGTTGATGCTTTAGCAAAACAAGGAATTGGGAAGAAACACTGATTTTTGGGCTATATTGTAATCTTTTTCTTGCATCTATCTGGGGGAGTTAAGAGAGTTTATCTCCTCCTTTTCTTGTATCTTCCATTTTTCTATTTTTTAATGAATTTTAGCTATTGATAAAAAAACTAGGGGTGCTCAAAAAGTTGAAAAACTGAACTGAACCAAGAAAACCGGTTAACCAAACTGATCGGTTCAGTTTCAGTTCGGTATTTTTGAAAAACTGGAGGACTGTTTTGTAGACATAAAAAACCAATGGTCAAAAATTGAAACCAGTCAACCAGTTAATCAGTTGACTGGTAGTACCGGTTCGGTTTCAAAAACTAGCCCAAGGATCGGTTAACCAAACCATGAGAACCCCTAGGTGAAACTTTTTTCACTAAAACTTGTTCTTTATAAATATTTTTTTTTATATTTTATACTAATCTTATATTTATATTATTTATTTTATAGAACTTATAAATCTTATGTAAAAATTAGAAAATTTGGACAAAATAATAAAATTCCAAAATTTTAATGGAAATAAGTTATCCAAAATTTTAGAAACTTTGTTTTGTTTAACAAAATTTCACTTGAATTTAAACCCATGATTGTTCACTACATGCCCTATAATATTATCACATTATTTTCTTAACCAAGGCTCACCTTGCCATTTCCACATTGCAAATCAACTTGTTTGGGTTAACAGTAAATGTTTCACCTTAGATTTTCTATAAATTTAAAAATAGGTTTTCCTCTCATCTAATATTGTCTATATTGAGAAGATATCAACAGATTTTAGACTTTGGCACACTTAACTCAACCAACCATAAAAGAGAAAGGACTAAGAAAAGAAAGATGAGAAAAACAGAAAAACCAAGGAAGCAGTTTCTCTCTAAAACACACACACACTTTCATCTTGGTGCCAGGGCTGCAAAGTTCCATTAATTGAATCATCAAATCTCATGTTCTTCTAAATTCTGAGCCACCATCGACACCCAGGATATGAAAAGCAAATAGAAGACAATCAAAAGATAAATACGAAAGAATAATTCACTGTTCAAAATCAATTTCATTGTAGACAAATCTAAGAATTTCTCCACCTGCATCACTCCCACTCCTCTGTCAAGGTTGCGACATAATTCTTGTGCACATAACCATTGCTGGGGCTTACCTAGAGTACTAATGTGCCACCTTAGGCAACTTTGTTGACATCACCCAGACATTCCAGGATCTGGTCAAGAGAGTGGAACATAAGTTCACTAAAGTTAGGGACATGCAGCCATATGGGCATAGACAGTACACCTATTTTCACAAGGTCTTTAAGGCTTACATGAAGCTTTGGAAGTTTCAACAGGAGAAGTGAAACTTGTCAAGGTGAGTTTGTAGAGATGGGAAATAGGAGAATTTTCTATCAAATTGACACATGTTCTCTAAGAAGACCTAATAAATGTCTCTTCATGTGTGCATTCTTTGGAAAGCAAGTGTTGAGACCATTCTCCATTTACTAATCTGTTGTCCTTTTGTGCTTTGTGTTTGAGAGTACTTTTACTCTCTTTGGTTGCAGGTGGGTTCCTCCTCAAGATGTTGCGAGCCTCTTCAGTCCAAGCTTCCTAAGGCATCCAAGGAAGAGAGGGAGAATTAGGTGGAGGGAATTTTTGCAACAATGGTGTGGATTTGTATGGGAATAAAGGAATTGGAGAACATTTAATGAGAAAAGTAGGTCTAAGGTGGAGATAATAGAGTATAAAGGTTAAAGCTGCACATTGGGTAAAAGTTCTGGAAATCTTTCAAATATTTTTAGTAGATGACACGATAAGAAATGGGCTAAAGTGGTGCAAAAGACAGGGTGATCATGGAATGGAATCTCCAGCAAATAATACAATAAAAGTGAATTTTGATGGAAGTTCCTTGGGAAATCCAGGGCTGCCAGGCATAGAGGGTGTATTTAGAGATTCTTCAAACGAGGTGGTTGCCATGTACTCAGGAGTCAGGACCAATTGGAGTTGGAGACTCATTGAGAGCTGAACTTTTGGCATTGCTACAAGGACTAAGATTAGCAAAGTAATTTGAATTCCAACATTTGAAAGTAGAAGGGGTTTTGAAACTGGTCATATCTTGGACACGGTGTAGCTAGCAATCCAGCTCCTAGGGTCTACAGGCATGCCTTCAGGGAGATAGGATGCTGTTAGAGTCAGCTGTAGAAGGGTAGTTTGGTCTTTTTGTTTTATGTTAAGAATATGATGTAATGTCTGTGTAGGTTTTCAAGACTGCTATTCAGTCTTGATCACTAAGAGATTTTAGGTTCGATGAGAAGAGAAAGTGAAGAAGATGTAGAAGAAAGAGTGAT